AAAAAAAAAAAAAAATGGTATCACTTTCCATCTTATTCTGAAAAAGAGTTAAGTTCCGTATCAGTTGGCAAACTTGAATGTGGTGGTGTGCACGTGGTTGGGAGGCTGAGATGGGAGGATCACTTGAACTAGAGAGTTGGAGTCCGTCCTGGGCAACATTACGAGACCCTGTCTCTAAAGAAAATTTTAAAAATAAAAGTATATATGCAGGGTGTCCATAAAGTTAACTTTAGTTGACTATTTCAAATTGTACACAAACTTTATGGACACCCCATATATTAGTATGTATCTGTCTACAACTAGAAAAATTATATTGTTAACTGCAGATTAGTGCAGAGCTAGTTTAAAGCTTTCCTGAAGTAGTTAATACTTTTAATAGGCTACTAAAGAACTAAGAAACTAGTTCTTAGTAGTAGCTCATCAGTGCCATATAGTGTCCAGCTTAAGTCCTGCTTACAAAAAGAAAGCCACAGGGTACTGTTAGCGCCTACCTATTTAACAAATTCAAGCCTTGGTTATACAGATACCTTTTAGATTTGAAAGTCTGCTGGGGAACAAACCTCTTATTGTTCATAATAATGAATAATACACAGTGTGCGGTGTAAACAAACTGATTTTTTTTAATGATGGACCAAATAAGATCTCGTTGAACCATCCCCAAGTGTTACGAGAGCTGCTGGCAGAGTGCAACATACAGATTGGGCTAGGGTAGAGGGGTGTGATTTTGAGCCACAAGTCATAATAAATATTAGAATTTAATATAGTTATTAGAATCTGTAGGGACTAGGCACAGTAGCTTACACCTATAATCCCAGTACTTTGGGATGCCAAGATGGGAGGATCGCTTGAGACCTGCAGTGCTAAACCAGCCTGAGCAACAGAATGATCCCCCATCTCTACCCCAAAATGTATATGTATAAAAATTAAATGAGCATGGTGACATGCTCCTGTAGTCCTGTCTACTCAGGGAGGATAAGGCCTTGGGATCTCTTGAACCCAGGAGTTTAAGGTTACAGTGCTCTGATTGCACTACTGCATTCCAGCCTGGATGACACAGTGAGACCCTATCTCAAAAAAAAAAAAAAAAAAAAAAAAAAATCCCTGTAGAATATTCATTACCTCGCTTGTTTTCACTTGTTATGTCATCTTTTACTTAGGAGGAGGAGTAATAGACATTGCTTTCTTCATATGTATTTTTTATATATCTCTTTTAAACTTCAAACTTTACATACCAGGATCTGAGTTTTGCAGAGGATTTAACTTACTTTAAATTTTTTTCTATTTTCTTTGAACTACTTCTGTACCATTGCCCATTTTTTTGCATTTGGACTTACAAATGTATTTTTTAGATGCATCACTTTTCCCCTTACTGTATATACATCATTTGAAATTCTTTCAACCCTAAGTAACAGAGTACTCTGAAAAATGGCTTAAGTGGTGAGTGTTTCAGTGTTTCTCACATAAAATGTTCAGAGACAGATAACAGTTCTAGAGTTGGTTGATTCTCCAATGGTGCCTGAATCTCTGGATCCGGATTCTCTTTTTTCTTGCCTTTGCCTTCATGTCACAAATAGTTGCTGCTGCTTTACAGAATCTCATCTGAAATTGGAGTGGGAGATTCATTACTTAATATTTCTCAGAAGCTCTCTAAAGTACTGAGCATCTCAGTGGTCAGGTCTCAACCATTTGCTCACCTCAAAACCAATCACTATCAGAGGAGAATGGGATTGTTATGATTGACTTGGTGTGATCATGATACCATGCCTTGGCTAGAGGCAAGCTACTCTCCCTGACCACATTGCTAGAAAGTCAAATAAAATAAGCATTCTTTTAGCAAGGCAGATGATGAGGGGTGGATGCTGGGGTAGGCAGCCTGCCTGCCATGATTTGCCATGAAGAATTGTGTCTACTCAGCATTAATAACCAAGGCAATAGAAACCTTTGTACCTATAGTTTTCATTCTTATATGCTAAATTCAGTGAAACTATCTAAAATTCTAGAACTATCTTAAATTCTAGAATTTAAGGTAGGCATTTTCTATTTTCTCATTATATATAATTACTGAATTTTTAAAATTTTACCTTATAGCAACAAATGGTCATTCAGAATGCTTACGGCTATTAATAGGAAATGCAGAACCACAGAATGCAGTAGATATTCAAGATGGAAATGGACAGTAAGTTTCAATAATTTTTAAATTACTTTGGGATGATTGTTAATCTTCATACTTTTGCACCTGTTTTAGTAAATCTTTCATAGTGTGTAACTGAGTAAATCAAAACATTAACATCACAAAAGTGCATATTTAGAAAGCCATAGAGTACAGTCTTAAATGATACTACTAAATTTATTCCTATTGTTTTTTAGGACGCCTCTGATGCTGTCTGTTCTCAACGGGCACACAGACTGTGTCTACTCACTGCTAAACAAAGGAGCAAATGTAGATGCCAAAGATAAATGGGGAAGGACAGCATTGCATAGAGGGGTAAGCAAAAATCATCTCATTTCCTTTTTTCTGAGACAGAATCTTACTCTGTTGCCCCAGGCTAGAGTGCCTCTGGTGTCATAGATCACAGCAACCAACCTCAAACTTCTGGACTCAAGCCATCTTCTTGCTTCAGCCTCCTGAGTAGCTGGGACTACAGTGTCTGCTACCAAACCTGGCTAATTTTTCTATTTTTAGTAAAGACAAGGAGGGTCTCACTCTTGCTCAGGCTGGTGTCCAACTCCCAAGCTTGCTTTGGCCTCCCAGAGTGCTATAATTACAGGTGTGAGCCACCACATTCAGCTCTTTTTTTTTTTTTCCTAAATCTCATTTCTTTTCAAAAACCTTTTATGACCTTATGACCTTAAATTATGTAGAACTGGAATTAATCTCTATTATTTCCTTTATTATCTTCGTGGGTTTTTTTTTTTTTTTTATTTTTGCAGTTTTTGGCTGGGGCTGGGTTTGAACCCACCACCTCCAGCATATGGGGCCAGCCCCCTTCTCCTGGAGCCATAGTCACCGCCCATTACCTTTGTTTTTAAATTCTTACTATGGAATACAACTTACTACAGAGAGCAATAATGTTAGAACAAAACTTTAAAACCCTAAAACCTTGAGTAGAATTAACATTGATTTTACTTTTTCCCATTATCTTATTTTCTTAACATTTTTATCTTTTTCTCCTTTGAATTTGTATTTTCATTGAGTTACAAGTTTCTCTCATCGTTTTTTTTTTTTTT